AATGAATTTGATATGAAAGATGTACACTTGAAAATTATTGAGCAAGTACATACAGGTTGTAATACTTTACCGCCAAACATTGTAATATTAAAACCTAGTGATTCATCAAATTGCAATGAAAACGTCTATGCAGCTTGTGAAATATATCATGATGACTTACCTCAAAGTGGCCATCTATACATAGCATGTGATCAAGCGATTTTTGGAAGATTAATATCCTATAAGGAAATTCATGGAGATGTTTGGCTTCTTTTATGACAGTGGCATACATCTAAAGATATGTGCAGTACTTTAATTGCAATATTCTTAGGATATAGAATATTCAACCTTGCAGCAATCCTTGGTGTATGATACTTAGATAACTTGAACGTGTTATTGATTACTGGGTAACATATTGTGTATTAAAATTGATCTGGATTGCAGTCGGAATTGCATTGTGTCAGCATACAAAAAGCAAAGAGGAAACTATAGATGATATTCTGGAAGGTAATAATCAATTCATAAAGATATGGTACCTTTTTTTCCGTTAGACAGGATACTTCATAGGTCATAAAATTGGAATTAGAAAAGGAAATTATAGGATGCAAATGTCAAATTTGGCTGAATTTGCACTTCTTTTCTCTGCAACTGGAAAGTTTAAGTATGCAAGTTCTGTAACACACTTTTTGAATCAAGTTCATAATGACCCACAGTTTCAGAAACTGTTACAAACAGTATGCTCGGTTAATCTTGCAAGAGAAAGACATTATTTAGCCTTTGATGATGCGCTTGAAACATATGGCATAAAGTTCATAAAGGAAAATATTACTGAAAATCTTACTAACCAGCAGACCATGATGTTAAAGGTTAAAGTGGCCCAAAATGAAAGGAATCGTTTATCTTTACTTCTTGCAGAATATACTGATGATATTGTAACAAACCAGAATTCTCATGCGATCAAGTCACGCAAAGATTCACTCTGGGACTTGGTTGCAAAGTTATCGTCTGCTTTTGATCATCCAAATCCTGCAACACACTATCTGTTTGAAAATGTTCTGGAAATCAATGAGAAGGGTATATATAATATTCTCTCCTTTTATGAATCCGGCAAATCACGCTTTGAGCAAGTTCTTTTGCAGGATGTATACAAAACTAAAACCCAAGTAGCTACTGGACGTCGTTCATGAGACGTAAATCATTATACTTACACTCAACTTGAGAATATGAAGAAACAAAAAGATAGCCAAGTAAGTAACCATACATAAGTATCAACTGTTCAACGGCATACTTCATTAGGATCATAACAGGTATCATTATCTTCTGAAACTGATCATCCAAGAAAGATACGTCATATTACTACAGATGCGGAAAAAGCTATACTTGTTCAATTATTTGAATTTGAAAAAGAATTACCTGAAATCGCAATCTCAAAAGTGTTATCTGAAATTCAAACTGTTTCATCAAACTGGACAGCCGAAAGAGTCAAATAGTATTGAAGGAATAACTGCTGCAGGGTAGTTTTTATTAATAATGCATAATGTATAAAATACAATTAGTAAAAATAAAGTTAAAGCAGTGATACAATCTCACGCATTTTAAGGTTTTTCATACTATATCCCAATATCATCTGACTTTCTGTCTAATGTTCTATTTTAATTTACAAAAATTAGAATTTAGATAATTTCAGACTTAAAAAATTCACTAGGAAAAACATTCGGATTTTGAAAAAAAGTTTTACCAAACCATTATTTTATCTTTATAAAACCCAGAATTCGAAATGTCTAAAAATAGAACTTTTCATAATTAAGGTCCTGGATTTTTACCTTGATCTCTTTTAACTCTAGAAACCTAAAGAAAGAGAAAATTTTTTAATTGAAATCCTTATCCTATCTTATTAAAGAATGTCTCTAATCAAACATCTAAAAGTCACGGATAAAATATCTTTACAACAATAATATATTTTGTAGTATTTTTTATTTAATGTCTTTAACAAAAAGAAGCTGACTTAATCTGAAGTATTCGAAGGAGAATCTTAATATATATGCTAAAAAATGGCATTTTTCAAGTCAAATTTTACTTGGAATAGAGCTAAGCGATACATATAATTCTAATATAGAATGATAATACAAGACTTCAAAAATAAAAACTTGTCTAAGGTTAAAATGTTATTTATTATGAGCTAATCGAAGCATTTTTACAAATAAGTCATAGCATTGTACATTACACAAAATTGATTTACTATTAAGATCATCTGAAGGGACATGTTCCATGACTGATATCACGTTTAAAAGTATAAGCATCCAGAAGATTTTGTACCTTCATTTCATTTGCACGATAGTATGAGTTGAATAAAGATATATGAGCTATAGAAGCGACTTCTCTATAATCATTTATTTAACTTAGCTTTACCAAAAGCTCTTGGCAACGTAATGCATCTATAATACAATAATTAGCTACTTCTCGCATTTTTCTTGCAGATAAAGGAGAGGAGTCTTTTTTGTCTTTAAATAGATTCTCCACATTTCATCATATGGCATGTCAGCTTTAATGTCGAGGCCACACTTTTTTAAGAAGAATTTAAGCGACCCTTTCTTTTCAACTTCAGAATGGGGGTAACGTTTTTTGAGATACACTCGGACATCAATTGGTATGCATTCTGGTAGTTTAAGAAAACTGGAAAAGAAATCCTCTTCTGCAGTAATTTTGATCTTAATTGCTTCCATATAATCTTTCTTTTTCTCAACCTCCTCACCTGATCCCCATATGGTTCCCTCTTCATCTGTATCCTTTTTCTTTCCTTTTATCATGAAATTATTTTCAGATTTCGCACTTACCTTTCCATGATATTTCCATTTTAGGATTTCTTCTTTTGTTTCAAACTTTCCTGTCATTCGCTTCCATATCTATTCGAGTATATTGAGATGATATACTCTCTCTATAATAAAATGCCAATCATAGTCAGAAATCATTAAATCCAACTTGAATGTCAGAGGCAAATGCTCGCCAGCAAAAGGCAAATGTTTTTAGTAAATTTACCTGATTTCCGCATATGATTGTAACCCATCGTGAGTCTGATGCAGTTTCAACGTCAACAAGACAGATTTGTTTTAATGGTTTTGGATCATCTTTCCAATGTAATATCATACCAATCATAAAGACCTTGTTTTTTTGTTCAAGAACTTCTGCAAATTCTCCTATTTGTGAGGCATATGTTTCTATATCCCATGTAAGGATAAGAGTGCGATCTCGTAAGAGAACTGAAATGGAAAATCGGTTACTTATTGTTGTGAAATCCTCTAGTGGACAGAAATCTTTTATAGACACGAATAACTCATGTGAACAAAGTGGGTTGGTCTGCTTACCTTTCTTACATATATATTTGTTTATTGTAGACCACCCAGAGAGTTGGATTCCATTTTTTCGAGCTACCTTTCAGTGAAATGAGTATAAATCATCTAAAGCAGTTTCGAAATTATTTTCTTGGATAGCTTGAATAGCTTTCTTTCTCTCTTCAGTACCATTCGTATAAATTCGTAAATATGACTTTTTCAGTATGATAACCCCGAAAAGGGAAAGCTTTAATATGCTCTATTTTAAATGATTTCACAATGCCAGAGAGAATTTTGTTCACCTTTTCTTCACATTCATCTAGAGTTTTTCCATCTGGTACGAGAATATCAAAGAAAACTTGAATGTCTATAAGAGTTACCAGTGCCTTTTGGCCATTAATAAGGCGACTATAAAGACGCAATACATAGCGATATGTTCCATTTATCCTTTCTGTTGATCCTTCATTCTCAATAGCCATGAATGGAATATCTTGTCATTTAGATAAAGCATTCTCGAGTATTGGAGTTAATCCTTCATCATTTCCAGCAACTATATCATCTAGCGTTGAACAGCCTAACAAGTATTTTTCACCAGAATAACGAATTACTTGGGCTTCCATTTTATCTTTTTCAGCCTCTGGGTGAAAAAGTGGGGCTTAGGAGGCATTGAGGAACTCTGAAAGCTCGGATTAAGTCATGGTATTATATAACAAATATACAGTTCGAGAGAAAGTATATACTCCAGAAGAAAAAAGTTCAAAATGAAAATTAATTTCGAAATATATAAATCGATATATAATCGAACTATTCATAGTTATCAAAAATGGCATTTTATCGATGTCCATATATTCTCAGGACTGGAGAAGTTTGTAATCGAGGATGCTTCCACCCAAAAGGATGCCAAATACATCAGAATTCTCCCTCATATATGCCTTGCATTGAATGTGGTAAACGAACTTATTTTGAATATAGATTTTGCGATCCATATACTAGAAAGCACCGTAAAAAGAAACAGTACCATCAGAAAAAGCTGGCTAAGATTACTTCAGCAGAGATACTGGTAGGTAATTTAGATGAAAATAAAAGCGATGCAAAATAATACAACTTGACAATAGTGTTACAGGAAAAAAAGCTTATGTCAGAACCTATGACGCAAACAATAGGCTCTTTAGGAATTATAGAGCGAAAGAAAGTTTTCTTGGAGAGTGTCACAGGTGGAACAGGTATCACAGGAAAAATCTGAGTCTCTTAACTTTTTTTTATTTTTTAAGCGTATAGCAAAAATATAGCATATATAATATATATATAGAATACCAATATATATACCAAAAGATAGCATAGAAAAGCTCAATTTTTTTTTCTAGAATTTATTACTCTTTACTTATGATACCTGTGACCAGTGTTATCATGGGACATAGTTAGAACACTGATGGGACACTGATTGGACATTGATGAAACAGATAGGACATTTAAGACATATATGGGACATAGTTGGGACATATAGCTGGGACAGCAAATGCTTGGGACATAGGAAATGTACATCACTGCCTGTGACACTAATCAAGAAAGAAATAATATAATATAATAATCTCAAGAAGCATAACAAACATGTCACAGGTTGTGTTACAGGTTAATATATAGAATTTATGCCACTTGTGACAGCAAAAAAAATAACATATATATCTTCTAATAATATAGCAGAAAGATCATGCCTTATTTTGATAATGCTCTAATATTGAAAATACGTAAA